GTGACACTAGATAATGTACATGGTAGATTGTGACACTAGATAATGTAGATGATAGATTGTGACACTAGATAATGTACATGGTAGATTGTGACACTAGGTAATGTACATGGCAGATTGAGAAACGGCTGGATGTTTTATTTGTTTTGATTTCTAGCTTGTATGGTAAATTAATGAATTCCAATGACTTTAAAATTATCAGTTTGTAGACACTTTGATGAAGTTCCTGTTTGGACACGCCTGACTGTCCCCAATCAATATCAATACTAATGACAGCACGCCTAAATGATCCTACGTGTAATTAGCTAAAGAATTAATGACTGGTGTTTTTATCACTTTCTATCAAGTGTACTGCCTGACTGAGGTATACCATATATCAATGCAATCTGATGATGATGAGATCAATTTGCACGTGCACATAGTTACAAAATAATACTTCTATGTGGAGAGGGTAAAATTATATAGAAAAATAAACAAATAAATTGTTTATTTCAAACTTAATTTAAAACTTGTTGCTTTAACCCTACACGGAGCTTCATATTATATAAATGTATATGTATGTTGTTTAATTCTACCAAATTTGCTCGCCATTTTTACTTGTACCCTTAATTTATACAAGTGGTTATTTAATTTTGTATAATTGCCTAATGTCATGATATTCAAATCGGGTCGTATATAGCCTGGTTGGCGTGCTACGTTACAGAAACTCGAAAACAAACGTTTTTGGTAGAACAAACATCAAGTGTACCTACTTGATTGCTGGAGCACGCAACGTACATATACAACATAAGCGTAAAAAGATCGTCGCGACACCTCGAGCGTGTAAGACAGGTTATTTTATCTCAACCCTGAATCCCTCTAATAACGCCACACTATACAAGATACATAACAAGCAGCATCACCATTTATAAATCATTCTCGTTAGCCTGGATTGGAGTTACAAGTGTCTAAATATGGTCGAAATGGGAAAACCCAAAGAAACCCGAATAATCGGGCGGATGGTCGACTACTCATTCCGACTGCCTGGACGAAAGAAAGGCGTGTGTTGTATCCGCTGTGTCAACCAACCATCCGTAACCACCCGTGAACTTCAGTGACGTTCATCGACTCGTGACAGAATTTTAGATGCCCATATTGTTGCTTACGGTTAAATGCCACTGCAAAAATAATAAGGATTCCCTGTTGCTAAGGAACGCGTCATAAAAGCCTGGTGAGATCGGATATTTCGACATCAAAATCACTTCCATGTCAGTATTTCTTGACGAAATCTCTGCATTATTGAAAGAGTCACATAAATTGCGAGATCGTGGCGAACCAACATATTTCAATAATGCATACTTATAAATGTCCTTTTCTCTCCGAGCCTCGAGAGTGAGTAGAGCAGTACCACCTCATCATATATTCATGTTTTTATATCAAATACTTTACAGTACTTAGAGTTTTCAAACTGCCATTGTCTTCAGTTCTTAACAAGTAAAAAGTAAACCCGTGTTTTTGTCTCAAAATGGCCGCTCAGATTCTCCCATTTAAGTATGGAATGTATATCACTACAATTTCAGTAGAAAATAAGTAAATACTACAGATTTCGGTGATTTTTTTTATCTGTGCTTCCGTTTTGAATGACGGAGTGCGTTATTTTGTGGCCATGATTGGAGGAATCAGAGTGATCAGTCCTGATAAAAGCGAGAACTTTCTAATGATAGCGCTGTGTCGAATTGGATGTGGCAGACGACAAGAGACTTGGACCGGGTCGGAGACGAGGGTTATGAACTCACGTCTATAAATGGTAGGCTTCGAGGCGGCATTAAATAGCAATGTTTATCTTTTAATTCTGGTAAACTATCATCTTGCGTGTGGACTAAGGTCCCGGTTTGCCAAAATTAGCCTCCATCGATAGATTTATAGATCCTTGTAGCTTACGCACGAGGCTTCTCCTGGCATCAAGATGCCATCAACATTAGAGCCCTAATTTAATCAAATTTCAGACGCTGAGGATTTGTTGTAGATGGAATGTGTGTGTTGTTACTTCATTAAAAATGAATTGTACAGTAAGATTGGGACTGCACACGCGCCTGGCCAATCACTCGTCACAAGGGGGCGCGCCCTGCCAGTCTGCCGAGCACGCGCACCTTTTACTGCTGCATAAATGTCTTGATACGCTCATAAAGCTCAGTGCGGACGACCGCGCTAAATCACACCAATGATTTTCATTGGTCAATATTAGACTTGATTGATCTTGATTCATAGTTAGTATCTCGAATCCACACGAAAAGCAGATAGACATTACGGAAATGAGGTAACTTAACGGTCTCTATGGATCCAGCGATACCAGTTATTCCCCTATATAGATAGGAAGAATGGTTACTTCGACCCAGCCGATTCCCTGCTCGGCCATTTACATCCAAACCAACCTATCACCGAAGCGATCCAAACTTGTTGTATTCGTTAAAGATTCCCTTTGGATCCTTATCCTCTTTACATCTTCCTAATATGACAGGTGTATCACAGATTGGACCAAACTTCTGCGTGACACCGACTATTTTGGCGTCATAGCAACTGATCAGAATCTGTACTTGACAAGATAAGGCAATATCTCGAAGACAAAAAAAAAAGTGCGTGATTTAGAAAACTACGTTTGCTGTGATATTTGCTTCGTCACATATTCTGTAGGTTAGAATTCAAATGCTCTGTTTAGTTTTCAGCAAATTATGGTGATTAAATAAGTTCAGTAGTTTTAACTTGTTCTTTATCACAGTGGATTTAGGGACTTCCCTCTGGTTTGGCAGGATGGGCTCGTTGAAATCATTTTATATGTGATGACATGTTGAATGCATTTCTATTCAAGCAGCTGCAGTTTCTAAACAGATGTCTGCCGTTAGTCTAGGACTTTTCACTTTGACAATGGTCATTATCGGCACTTCTTCAGCTCGCACTAAAGATACAACCAAAGTGTCACATTTAACACTGTCTCGTGTGGAACCCTACCGTCTGACCGACAACTCATTGACTGACTTAGATCCATAACTTTCACCTTCTTCCCACTAGACTACTTCACACGTTCCCTACAGAATACGGAGTAGGAATTCCAGTAATCTGATGCTAAAAGTTTCAGCCATGTGTTTTGGATAAAGACGACCAGAACAGATCTCTGAATTACCACAATTACCTCATTCGTTTACGAACTTCATTGTGGTGCGGAGTCACGCACTGGTCAGCTACCGATCACATGGTAAGTCGGATATAATCACCTTAGGACAGCTAGATAAGACTTAAGTTTGATGACACCCAGTCATTGATTTTATCAGAGAACATCTCATTGAGTAATTCCAATCAATGTAAGATTTCTTTCTACTTGTATATGCAGATTTCTTACGTTTGATTATTATTAAAGCTTTGTAGATAAAAAATCTAGTATAGCAAGCTGCGACAGAAGACGTGATATGTAGATTTCAAATGTTTACGAAAACAAAAATAGGTGATCGCTAATTCTATGATATTGTAATCAGAAATCATATAATACATGAGAGAATTTGATGGAATGTGGAACTTGACTCTATATAGAGTGTATCCCAATATTTAACACACTGTACGCTCCTGAAAAAAAAAACCCTATTAATTAGAACGTTTAAGTTCATGTATAGGGTTGTTGTTATAACAATCGTGCGAATGTTTTAATTCCTGGTTGACAATTTCTACTAAGTAACCACAAAAATGAACTGCGTCTTTTCACTTCTCTGAGCCTCTCTGTTCTCCGAGCCTCTCTGTTCTTCGAGCCTCTCTGTTCTTCCAGCCTCTCTGTTCTCTGAGCCTCTCTGTTCTCCGAGCCTCTCTGTTCTTCGAGCCTCTCTGTTCTTCCAGCCTCTATCTTCTCTGAGCCTCTCTGTTCTCCGAGCCTCTCTGTTCTTCGAGCCTATCTGTTCTTCGAGCCTCTCTGTTCTTCCAGCCTCTCTCTTCTCCAAGCCTCTCTGTTCTCTGAGCCTCTCTGTTATTTGAGCCTCCCTGTTCTTCGAGCCTCTCTGTTATTTGAGCCTCCCTGTTCTTCGAGCCTCTCTGTTCTTCCAGCCTCTATCTTCTCTGAGCCTCTCTGTTCTCCGAGCCTCTCTGTTCTTCGAGCCTCTCTGTTCTTCCAGCCTCTCTCTTCTCCAAGCCTCTCTGTTCTCCGAGCCTCTCTGTTATTTGAGCCTCCCTGTTCTTCGAGCCTCACTGTTATTTGAGCCTCTCTGTTCTTCGAGCCTCTCTGTTATTTGAGCCTCTCTGTTCTTCGAGCCTCTCTGTTCTTCCAGCCTCTCTCTTCTCTAAGCCTCTCTGTTCTCCGAGCCTCTCTGTTATTTTTGCCTCCCTGTTCTTCGAGCCTCTCTGTTATTTGAGCCTCCTTGTTCTTCGAGCCTCTCTGTTATTTGAGCCTCTCTGTTCTTCGAGCCTCTCTGTTATTTGAGCCTCTCTGTTCTTCGAGCCTCTCTGTTCTCCGAGCCTCTCTGTTCTCCAAGCCTCTCTCTTCTCTGAGCCTCTCTCTTCCCTGACTTGCTTTTGGTATCCAATCAAGACTGACTTAATTCAAGATCTTATCAAAACAGGTAGCAGAGACATTGTCATGTCATCCCATTTCGCGTTTAAATACATTGATGATGCCTTGTCTTAGATAATAAGAATCGAAAGCCCAGAACCCGATTGCTTCCTCTTTACGTTAAACACAACCTGATGGAGAGGTTTCCTAAGTAGGATAAGACCACTGTTCCGAAAGGGCAAACGCCATTTTCTTTATTAACGACACCCGCCATGTAAGCTTGGTCAATCCAAGTAAGTAATGCCACGTTCTCAACTGAGAACAAAGACAACACCAACGGTACAGTTCTATCAATATGACAGAATGGCGTGTTGTTGAACACCAGTGTGTCAGAATACATCGATATTTCTGCATTAACATTGCGGCATTGGTGAAAATTTTGACACACTCCTACGATACACATGGCATTCTACATAGCGGATCTTATGCAAATACTTACCATTGGTGGTACCGGTGATTGGTTCAATCGTGCTGGTTTTTGATTGGTTGCTCACGTCATCAATATTTTCAGACTCAACCGAGGGACTGGACGAATGCGAGTAACAACCTCTGTCAACGTCATCAGGTTCTGTGGGAAAACAAAACACGGTAAAGAATGATCAAACAGGAGGAAATGGCACAGCGGCTTTCAGTAGGCTAAAATAAAATCTACCCAATCTTGAGGATCTCATGTTTACAGTATAGATATATGTTTTCTCTCCAAAAGTTCGGTTGTCTAAAACCAGTCTAATTAGACCAAATCCTACAATATATTTTATCCTTCCAAATGAATAGGTCTCAATTTATACTTCCGTATCACAATAGGACTTCGGTTCTGGTCGTTTTACGTGGACTCTATATGTAGTGTTTCATAGAAATAGTTTTCTCCTTTAAGTTAAACGATGCTATTGTCCTGGCTATTATTAAAACGATCTTATAGAACTAGATATATCTGGATGTCTGACTACAAATACTGATATATGTTGATGTCTGACTACAAATATCGATATATGTTGATGTCTGACTACAAATACCGATATATGTTGATGTCTGACTACACATACCGATATATGTTGATGTCTGACTACAAATACCGATATATGTTGATGTCTGACTACAAATACCGATATATGTTGATGTCTGACTACAAATACCGATATATGTTGATGTCTGACTACACATACCGATATATGTTGATGTCTGACTACACATACTGATATATGTTCATGTCTGACTACACATACTGATCTATGTTCATTTCTGACTACAAATACCGATATATGTTGATGTCTGACTACAAATACCGATATATGTTGATGTCTGACTACACATACCGATATATGTTGATGTCTGACTACACATACTGATATATGTTGATGTCTGACTACAAATACCGATATATGTTGATGTCTGACTACAAATACCGATATATGTTGATGTCTGACTACACATACTGATATATGTTGATGTCTGACTACAAATACCGATATATGTTGATGTCTGACTACACATACCGATATATGTTGATGTCTGACTACAAATACCGATATATGTTGATATCTGACTACACATAATGATATATGTTGATGTCTGACTACATATACCAATATATGTTGATGTCTGACTACAAATACCGATATATGTTGATGTCTGACTACAAATACCGATATATGTTGATGTCTGACTACAAATACTGATATATCAGGATGTCTGACTACAAATACCGATATATGTTGATGTCTGGCTACACATACTGATATATGTTGATGTCTGACTACAAATACCGATATATGTTGATGTCTGACTACACATACCGATATATGTTGATGTCTGACTACAAATACCGATATATGTTGATGTCTGACTACACATACTGATATATGTTGATGTCTGACTACACATACCGATATATGTTGATGTCTGACTACAAATACCGATATATGTTGATGTCTGACTACAAATACCGATATATGTTGATGTCTGACTACACATACCGATATATGTTGATGTCTGACTACAAATACCGATATATGTTGATGTCTGACTACACATACCGATATATGTTGATGTCTGACTACAAATACCGATATATGTTGATGTCTGACTACAAATACCGATATATGTTGATGTCTGACTACAAATACCAATATATGTTGATGTCTGACTACACATACCGATATATGTTGATGTCTGACTACAAATACCGATATATGTTGATGTCTGACTACAAATACTGATATATCAGGATGTCTGACTACACATACTGATATATGTTCATGTCTGACTACAAATACCGATATATGTTGATGTCTGACTACAAATACCGATACAAGTTGATGTCTGACTACACATACTGATATATGTTGATGTCTGACTACACATACCGATATATGTTGATGTCTGACTACAAATACCGATATATGTTGATGTCTGACTACAAATACCGATATATGTTGATGTCTGACTACACATACCGATATATGTTGATGTCTGACTACAAATACCGATATATGTTGATGTCTGACTACACATACCGATATATGTTGATGTCTGACTACAAAAACCGATATATGTTGATGTCTGACTACAAATACCGATATATGTTGATGTCTGACTACAAATACCGATATATGTTGATGTCTGACTACACATACTGATATATGTTGATGTCTGACTACAAATACCGATATATGTTGATGTCTGACTACAAATACCGATATATGTTGATGTCTGACTACACATACTGATATATGTTGATGTCTGACTACAAATACCGATATATGTTGATGTCTGACTACACATACCGATATATGTTGATGTCTGACTACAAATACCGATATATGTTGATATCTGACTACACATAATGATATATGTTGATGTCTGACTACACATACCAATATATGTTGATGTCTGACTACAAATACCGATATATGTTGATGTCTGACTACAAATACCGATATATGTTGATGTCTGACTACAAATACTGATATATCAGGATGTCTGACTACAAATACCGATATATGTTGATGTCTGGCTACACATACTGATATATGTTGATGTCTGACTACAAATACCGATATATGTTGATGTCTGACTACACATACCGATATATGTTGATGTCTGACTACAAATACCGATACAAGTTGATATCTGACTACACATACTGATATATGTTGATGTCTGACTACACATACCGATATATGTTGATGTCTGACTACACATACTGATATATGTTGATGTCTGACTACAAATACCGATATATGTTGATGTCTGACTACACATACCGATATATGTTGATGTCTGACTACAAATACCGATATATGTTGATGTCTGACTACAAATACCGATATAAGTTGATGTCTGACTACACATACTGATATATGTTGATGTCTGACTACACATACTGATATATGTTAATGCTTGACTACAAATACTGATATATGTTGATGTCTGACTACAAATACCGATATATGTTGATGTCTGACTACACATACCGATATATGTTGATGCCTGACTACAAATACTGATATATGTTGATGTCTGACTACAAATACCGATATATGTTGATGTCTGAATACAAATACTGTTAAATGTTGATGCCTAATTACAAATACTGATATATTTGAAGGTCTGGCTTTAAATACTGATATATGTTGATGTCTGACTACATGTACTGATCTTGTGCATTGTGATACTGTGTCAGCAATATGCCGTTGGAGTTGAAAACAAATGCACTCCCCTGTGTTTTGGGGGTGTAACTGTGTGGTAGGGATAGTACTGTCTTGTCCTCAACTGTGTTGAAGAGGTTGGCATCTCATCTTCTACCATGTTGTGGGGATATTACTGTCCCTTCTACACCTGTTTTGAAGAGGTGGCATCTCATCCTCTACCATGTTGTGGGGATAGTACTGTCCTGTTGTCAACTGTGTTGAAGAGGTGGTATCTTATCCTCTACCATGTTGTGGGGATAGTACTGTCCTGTCGTCAAATGTGTTGAAGTGGTAGCACTGTCTCATCCTCTACCATGCTGTGTTGATGTTACTGTCCATTCCACAACTGTGTTGTAGGGGTGGTACTGTCTCATACTCCACAATGTTTGTGATGATACTGTTCCGTCCTCAACTGCGTTGTAGGAGTGAGACTGTCTAAACATCTATCATGTTGTGGGGGAAGTACAGTCTTACCCTCAACTGTGTTGTTGAGGCGCGGGTGAGGAACTGTTATATCCTGCACAGTGTTCCGTGGGAGAGGTACTGTTATATCCTCTAATGTGCTCTATGGAAGAGGTACTGTTATATCCTCAATAGTGTTCCGTGATAGAGGTACTGTTATATCCTCCCCAGTGTTCCGTGGGAGAGGTACTGTTATATCCTCCCCAGTGTTCCGTGGGAGAGGTACTGTTATATCCTCCCAGTGTTCCGTGGGAGAGGTACTGTTATATCCTCAATAGTATTCCGTGGGAGAGGTACTGTTATATCCTCCCAAGTGTTCCGTGGGAGAGGAACTGTTATATCCTCTAATGTGCTCTATGGGAGAGGTATTATTATATCCTCAATAGTGTTCCGTGATAGAGGTACTGTTATATCCTCCCCAGTGTTCCGTGGGAGAGGTACTGTTATATCCTCCCCAGTTTTCCGTGGGAGAGGTACTGTTATATCCTCCCCAGTGTTCCGTGGGAGAGGTACTGTTATATCCTCAATAGTGTTCCGTGATAGAGGTACTGTTATATCCTCCCCAGTGTTCCGTGGGAGAGGTACTGTTATATCCTCCCCAGTGTTCCGTGGGAGAGGTACTGTTATATCCTCCCCAGTGTTCCGTGGGAGAGGTACTGTTATATCCTCAATAGTGTTCCGTGATAGAGGTACTGTTATATCCTCCCCAGTGTTCCGTGGGAGAGGTACTGTTATATCCTCCCCAGTGTTCCGTGGGAGAGGTACTGTTATATCCTCCCCAGTGTTCCGTGGGAGAGGTACTGTTATATCCTCTCCAGTGTTCCGTGGGGGAGGTACTGTTATATCCTCCCCTGTGTTACGTGGGTGAGGAACTGTTATATCCTCTAATGTGCTTCATGGGAGAGGTACTGTTATATCCTCAATAGTGTTCCGTTGGAGAGGTACTGTTATATCCTCCCAAGTGTTCCGTTGGAGAGGTACTGTTATATCCTCCCCAGTGTTCCGTGATAGAGGTACTGTTATATCCTCCCCAGTGTTCCTTGGGAGAGGTACTGTTATATCCTCCCCAGTGTTCCGTTGGAGAGGTACTGTTATATCCTCCCCAGTGTTCCGTGGGAGAGGTACTGTTATATCCTCCTCAGTGTTTCGTGGGAGAGGTACTGTTATATCCTCTACTGTGTTCCGTGGGAGAGGTGCTGTCATATCTTCCAATGTGTACCGTGGGAGAGGTACTGTTATATCCTCCCCAGTGTTCCGTTGGAGAGGTACTGTCATATCCTCCCCAGTGTTCCGTTGGAGAGGTACTGTTATATCCTCAAGAGTGTTCCGTGATAGAGGTACTGTTATATCCTCCCCAGTGTTCCGTGGGAGAGGTACTGTTATATCCTCAATAGTGTTCCGTGATAGAGGCACTGTT